GCACAGTGTTGGCTTTAATTGGTACCCAACAGATTTTTTGTTGTTGTTTATTTGCTTGTTCTTTTGGTTTTCTAAGACAGGGTTTCCCTGAGTAGCCCTGGCTGTCCTGGAACTCACTTTGTAGACCAGGCTGGCCTTGAACTCACAGAGATCTGCCTGCCTCTGCCACCTGAGTGCTGAGATTAAAGGAGTGAGCCACCACTGCCCAGCATGGATGTTAAATCTTGACCAAATTTCTATTCTTTTTTAGAAACTTCATTTAATTAAATTGGTTTTGCAACTCTAAAATCTTTTTTTTTTCTTTTTTGTAAATCGGACTCTCTGCTGATTAAGTTTTAGAAAAGCATTATGTAATCTAGTGGGAGCTGCTGAGTGGCACAGGTACCCAGGGTGGGTTGTGTCCTTCTTTCCTTGTTCTTGGGCCCTTGCATCTTGTTCTGAGGTGTGTGTGTGGGGGGGGGGGGCTGCCGAGGTGTACCAAGAGTAGTACCTTCCTAGGTCTGGTTAATCTTTATCGACTGGATTTAGAATAGTCATGGAATCACTACTAGATGTGTCCATGAGGATATTTCCAGAAGGGTTTAACTGCACAGGGAAGAGCCAACCTAATGTAGCCGGTACCATCCCATGGACTGGGGACCTAGACTGAAGACAAAGAAGAAAGTAAGCTGAGTTTCATCATCCATAGCCTATTCCCAGTGTGACCACACTGTGACCAGCCGCCTCACGTTCCTACCACCATGCCTTTCCTGCAGCGATCTTTAACTCTGGGGCAGAATAAACACTTCCTTCCAGAAGTTGCTTTTGTTGGCTATTTTGTTGCAACAAGGAGAAAGTAACTAATACAGTCCTTTATAACCCAAGCATCTGGGAGGTTGCAAGGGCACTGGAAACATCAGAGGTAGCAAGCCTCATAGGGTGGGGAAATGGCTGGTGCCTGCCTGCAGCAGGACAGCAAGGCATTACTTTTTTGCTAAGTTCCTGCTACCTGCTGGACAGGTCAAGGGAAGGTAGGCATTTCCAGCCGCCCCCATTCTTTCATTGTCTTGCTGTATTGCCCATTGATAGTCACTGTGATCTTCTCAGGTAGTGTACTTCCTTAGTTTTCTAGGATATTAATGAACCTATTATGTAATAATTGCATGACTTAGTTTCCATGGTGATTTGCATGTTCTGACTCAATGATGCTTCCCAGTGAGCCTATCTTAATCTCTTTCAGTCCTGCTGCAGCTACTTTCCACCGTATCTCATTACATGGAGAGTTTTCTTAAGAAAACTGGGTTATTTATTATTGTGCATTTCACTAGAACAACAAAATCACAATCTTGAAGTGCCAATTTTTCAAAATTCACTTTAAAAATAAAGTGAAGCTGGGTGTTGGTGGCACCTACCTTTAATCCCAGCACTCAGGAGGCAGAGGCAGGCAGATCTCTGTGAGTTCAAAGCCAGTCTGGTCTACAGAGTGACTTCAAAGTCACCAGGATAGGCTTCAAAGTTACACAGAGAAACCCTGTCTTGAAAAACAAAACGAAACAAAAAAAAAAAAAAAAAGAAAGAAAAGAAAGCGAAAAAAATAAAACAAACTCGGGTTCAGCCTCATTAATTTGCTCCTAATGCAGCCTGTAATTGAGGGATACTTGTTTCAAATCGTAGGTCTTATTTTCATAGGAGGTATTTCAATATTCTCGGCATACATGCTGTTAGGTAGATTAAAGACACTTAGGAGTCCTGCTTTTATGGATATAGCTGCAAAACTATGAAGCCTGGCTCCAGAGACCTGCCCCAATGTGTAAGGGACTTCAGCCTCCTAAGCTGGAGAGTCAGCAGATGGGCCAGCATTGAGAAATAGCAAACCGGTAGGAACAAATACCTTTGAGGCAAACCCAGTGGGAGCTGTGCTGTGAGGACAACCTCTCCATGAATATAGATCTGTGCCGGCCTGTGCATTATTTACCCAGCTGTGCCCGTTACCACTTCAATAATTTAAGGCAATTTATTACCAGGATAACTTGACTGATTGTAATCAATAAGCGAGAAGCTGAGAATCCAATTTAAATGACACGAGGGCCCCAGCTGATTCTCCTGTGCTACAATAATCCTTCCTTCCTTAACCCTTCTTCCCCCTGGAGTATCTGCAGTATCCATGAATAGTCCTCCCCGCTCTTGTCATCCAGCCCCAGAATGCCCTCGGCGGGTTGTACTCACTACTGCTGCTCACAAGTGAAGACTTAACAGATTGGCTCTTTCTACTCGGCTTCAGTATCAGCATCAGCACCATCTATAGCAATGATTTTCAAACTTTCTAATACTTTGAAGTTTTAATACAGTTCCTCATGTTGTCATGATCCCTAAACAAAATTTATTACAGTTACTTCATAACTGTAATTTTGCTACTGGTATGAATCATAATGTAAATATCTGATAAGCAGGATATCTGATATGTGACCCCTGTGAAAAGGTCATTTGACCCACCTTGGGGGTTTCAACCCACAAATTGAGAACCACTGATCTAGATCTTATTAGAAATGTAAAATTCCCAGACTGGACAAATCAGGAACTCTGGCTATTCCTAGAAAGCTGTGATTTCACAAACCTACCAGGTGATTCTGAGGCAGCTCAAGCTTGAGGTAGATCAAGAATCAGGGTCCTAATGGAAAGTCAAGGCAGGGTTCAGTTTCAATATCAAGGCTGCTCTGTTGCAGCTCACAAAATTATGAGCCGCTAGTTATCTATCTTCTTAATCATGAATGCAAGCCACATCCCCACGGCTGCCAGTATGTTCTGCCTGTCACATGCTCCACCCCTCTGGTTTTCCTCCATGCAAACATAGCCCCTACTTAACACATCCTCAGGGCGAAGCTTCAATTTTGCTCATACTGCCTGTAAAACCCATGAGGGAGAGCATAAACCCTCTCTGTCTTTCCTTGTAAGAGGTTTTGTCCCAGACAAGAAGCCACGCCCTAAGTCTTCCCTGCCCTACCCTGCCCCACAGTAATATAAGGGGCAGGTCTGTTCTGTTTTATCTACCTCCTCTGCAAAACCTTGCACATAGTAGGAGCTGCCACAGAGTAGTAATTGTTGGTTGGCTGAATCAATGGACTACAGGGTTGAGTAGGGTTGATTCTTTCCTTTGGTGCTTTCTGTCTTTTCATGTGGAAAAGGGCTCTCTAAGGCGGAGCCCCTGGAGTTTGAGGCACCCCTCCTGGTGTTTTATCCAGGGGTCATGTGAAGGATTTTGAAGCTCCTGCCCTGTCCTTCGGATTACTTCCAGGTGGAGTGACCCACTGAGAATGAAAAAGGCTCTCACAGTCAGGAGCCACTCCCACTTCTGTGTGTGAAGAGCAAGCATTAAACCATCAACTGTTCCTGGCTAATGAGCTAGAGGAAAAGAGCCCACTCTTCTTAAAAAGCAGGGGGCTGCCTTTGGAGGCTTGCCCTGGCAGCGGCCTCTGAGGCTCATAAATACCAAGCCTGTATCCTGGGTGACCACAGATAATGATGGGGGTTCTCCGGGTTGCCGTAGGGTAGGGAGGGAGTGTGTACCACTCTGTTCTCTCCTTTCAAGGATAGGGTACCTTGCACCACTTTGGAGGCAGCTTCTTTTAGACTAAGAATGGCAACTGCCCTTTGGTTTTTGTCCCACACTTTCAGAGGTTAGTTTGGCGGTCATTGAAGGAGTAAGGGAAACATGGACTCACAAGGTGGAGCTGGAAACTCTTTTGCTGATCTTTACGTTTTCTGATAGCTGATTGTGTGGTGGGGATTCAGCTGGTGCTAAAACATGGGAGTTCATAGTCCTGAGAAGTGACACAAATCTAGTACAGAAGGACTCTAAGGCAAGCGAAGGACGTAGCCTCAGAGGAGTATTTGAGCTCCAGGAGGTGTAGAAGATGTATGTGGCAGTAAGGGGAAGGTGTCCCTTCTGTATAACAGAAAACCAAGGGCCTGGCGGTAGCTGGAATGTCCCCAGGCACTGTGTAGATCTGGCTGCCGGGAATACTAGGTTTGGAAAGTGGAATTGCCTCTGGAACATCACAACTGAGTGGATGTGACTTGTGGACAACTGAGTGGATGTGACAAGTGGCTATGGGTGACAAGAGTAGATTTGGGGGTGGGGGATGGGAGATCAGGCTGTTGTCATAGCTCAGCCAAGGCTGTTACAGTATGGAGGGGTGGAGCGGGACAGAGATATCGAGCATTCGATGTCTGCAGGACAGAGGAGGAGTTGCGGCAAAATTTTCATGAACGTGAGTTGACCACATGGGTGTGCTGAGTCAATAGACTGGGTTAAGAGACAGAGTTAGGTGATCAGGTTTGGAAGAAAACATTGAGCTCTGTTTTGAAAACACTGGCTTTGAGGGACCTCTGGGTTATCTGAGAAAAACCCGAAGGTGGGCAGATCCAGTCAGGCTCAAAGACGTTGTCACCTGAGAACCATCAGCACTAGAGAAGGAGTTAATTCCAAAGTGGACGAGATTGCTCCGAGAGATGACAGAAATGGACCTGGACCTGGTTAGTTTACAGTCTGCATCACTTCTCACATTCAGCATCCTCATAATATTGAAAGAAGAAAGCCAAGCTGGTTGTGGTGGCACACCTGTAATCCCAGCCCCTGAGAGGCAAGGCAGGGATGGAGGGTCCCCTGTTTCAGGCCATTATGGCCTTTTAGGCCATTATAGCATTCAAACTATCACAGTGATTTTTTTGAGAAAGAGAAGAACTAGGAGACAATCACGGTCACCACAGACAGGGATGTTCTGAAGGGCTTGGCTTGGATTGGGTATGTCTACCTGTGGAGATAGAGAGAGATGGAGCAGAAGTGACATGGGGTGGGAATGGGGCTGAGAACAGGCTGTTCTCCCATCAGGAGAATATCAGATTCTAGGTGAGTCAACTCTACAAACGCAAAACACCAAGTGTTGCAGCAGGGTAGAGAAAGGCTTGGCAGTTTGTCAGCTTCATGTTGCATTGTAATTCTGCGCTATGTCTTCTCCCAACAGGTTCCTAATCCAGGAAGAGCATGGTCTACCAGACAAAGATGGGGCCCCGAGTCTCTGCTAACTACCAGAGTTCAGAATGGGACACTGCTTTAAGGGAGACCAAGGCTTCTGAAAGAGCACCTGAGCATTTTGTGTAATCAAGGCATGGGTGTAAAGATGGAAGTGAGGGTGATGTATTGGGAGCCGTGCATTGGAGTCACATGACCTGGCGGTGGGCACTCAGCATGCAGGTGACCACTGAGAAGGGGGTCTGTATAGCTCCACCTCGTTTTCTCCAGAGTCACATCTTACAAGGCTGTCCTCTTAGAGAATGGGCTGAGTGGCCTCAGTGCCTCAAAATATCCTCTGGCCAAGGGTGGTGAAAAGTCTGGATCTTAGAAGGCAGATCGAGGATAAATGAAAAGAGTCATGCTTCATGTCAAGGAGGTGGTGACATCTAGAACATCGACCTGTGTTGTCACAACAGGCCCAGGCCCTGGGTTGACTCCTGTAGGAGTGAGTATTTGAAAAAAGAGATGAAGAGGCTGAAGAGGTTGCTCAGAGGTTAAGAGCACTGGCTGCTCTTCCAGAGGTCCTGAGTTCAATTTCTAACAATCACATGGTGGCTCACAACCGTCTATAATGAGATCTGGTCCCCTCTTCTGGCCTGCATAGATATATGCAGACAGAACACTGCATACATAATAAATAAATAAATCTTTTTTTTAAAAAAAAACCCCAACCCTACATTCCCAATAGGTGGAGTGGCTGGTTTAAAAAAAAAGAAAAGAAAAAGAAAAAAGAGATGGATCAGGAGAGAGGCCAGCATTGCTACTCCCTAGAGGCAGGAGGGGATGGGGATGTTGTTTGCAGTGCTATGAAGGACCAGTGCTCTAAGTGACCTTTTAAAAACACTTATCTAATACATGTTTTATAATCATCATCTGTTGCATGGTTATGCATCACTGGCAAGGTGTCCAGGTTCCTGTAAACAACCTTTCACCCATGCCCCTGTAAGTATCCCTAATGAAACTGAAAGGGCCACACACACACACCAAACACAGGAAAATACAATGAGAACTGGTTAGGAAGAGGAAAGTGGTGGGTAAACGGGATGGAGTGGGGGATAAATATGATCAAATATGTTAAATACAGGTATGAAAATTTCTTGAGACCCATTGTTATGAAAAATTGCTGTATGCCAATAAAAGCCTTAAAAAAAGAACTTTTAAATCATCAAGTAGGAAAATAGATGGTCACAGTTGAATAATTAGTTCAGTTGTCACCAGAGATATGCTAAGATAACCTTGTGAAGGGCATTATTATTTTTTGAACCTCCAAATTATATAGTTGAAATAAAGTCACAATTCCAATTTTCCTGGAGAAATTGGCTAGGTAGCTGTGCAATTAGTCACCCTCTGCTACAGTAAGCTGCAGCACCTGCAAAGCTGGCAGCCATGGGTGCCAAAGTGACATGGGTGACAACAGTGACAATATTCTGTCCATATTCTCAGGTCTGCAAGGCAGTTGGGGTTCTGCTGATGTGGGAAGTGCTCACCTGGCCTTGCTTGGGCTCTTCAGGGTACCAGGGCTCAGGTTAAGTCTGACCAGCTTCTAAGTCTTGGTAGTTTGGGGGCAACAGTTATGCATCTGATAGCTTACTCTGGACCAAGTGAAAACCACACAGGCACAGTTGGTTGACAGCTCTCCTTGTATCTGCCAACACAGTAATGGCCGAAGCAGGTCACATGGCCTGGATCAATCAAAGAGTAGGTCCTCTAGCTTTTCTGCTCATTCACATTGCAAAGCGTTATAATAGGTATAGTGTCAAATTTTACAGTTTGATGGTGGTCTGGGTCGGTCATGGAGTGGGTGCTCCAGAGAGTTTCAGCAAAGAATTATAATGGCAAACTCTCATAATTTGAACACTAAATTTAAAATAGTAAAATATAATGAATTTTTATAGGCATTAAGATTTATTATTGGATCCCAGAAGTTCATTCTATAATGCTGATATTTGATTTCATTCTCTGTTTAAACTTAAAATTGACCAAAAAGAAAATTAAAAACACTCTTAAGGTTGACTGTATACTGATCTCTCTCTCTCTCTCTCTCTCTCTCTCTCTCTCTCTCTCTCTCTCTCTCTCTCTCTCTTTCTCTTCTCTCTCTTTTTTCTTTGTATGTGTATGTGTGTATGCGTGTTTTGAGACAATCTCATGGAGTTCAGTGTGGCCTTGAACTCACTATGTAGCTGAAGACAATGTCAGACTTGATCATCTCCCTGCCTCTGTGTCCCTATGCTGGGGTTACATGTGTACTCCACCATGATTAGCTTACACGGTGCTGGCAATTGAATCCAGGTAAGCATTCTTGATCCTCTTGGAGCCCTGCCACCATCTCCCAAGTGCTGGGATTGTAGGCTTGTAACTCCATCCCAGCCTCTGTCTATGTATATTTGAACATACAGAAGCTCTTTGACTTACAACAGAAAACTCTTGTCAGCTGAATATATCTGAAGATGGAAGTGCATGCCATATACCTAACCTCTAGAACATTCTTGCTGCATACATAGCACACTGTAGGGTGAAATTATTATTTTTTCATAAGCATATGGCTGACTAGCCCAAGATGTGTATGGGTTATCAACTCTGATCCCAACCCCTTCAGCTATGTACCCTTTGACCCTACTGTCCTCTCTAGATAGGCTCTTTTGGTTCTCTGCCTTCCCAGACTGCCTGCTCTATTCCTCACAACATCTTCCTTTAAGGTCTTCACAGGGAATCTCTTTATTGTTTTTTCTCCTTCTTGGATGATCCTTGAGCACTGGGACTCTGGGGTCATCAGCCAGACCACACTTCTCTTCTGAGCCTGTGGCATGGAAGCCACCTACCTCTGTTTCCTGTCAGTCCTGTCATGTCGCCTTCTCTGTGCTGGATACTGCAGGGATTGGTGCCACAAGCACTCTACTCAACTTTGACTCAGTCAACCGTGCCTACCTTGTGCCTACATGGTGGCCAGGGCCATGGCCACACCAGTAAATGGAACAGGGGCAGGACCTTATTCTAGCCTCTGAGACTCCCCACTCGTGCAGCAGTGCAACCTGAGGGACTGCCTGTAGACCAGGACTTTGAAGATGCTATGTAATCTAGGCTGGGATGCAGCTCAGGCATTAGAATGCTTAGCATGCATAAAGTGCTGGGTGGGATATCCAGCACTTCCTAAAATCGGTTTGATAGCCTGCCTCTAATCTCAATGCTTGGGAGGCAGAGACAAGGGTTCTCTGGAGCTACAGAGTAAGACTAGCTGTATTGGTATGCTCTGGGTTCTAGTGAGAGAACCTGCCTCTCTAAATAAAGCAGGAGCAATTGGGAAGTCACATATGCATGTACACACACGTGTGCCTAAGCACATGCAAACAGGCATACATAATGCATGCACAGTACACAAATACACACAGACATGCATATTATTGGGCCTGCAGATCCATAGACTCATACAATCTGTCCGGGTTCAGGAATCTGTGTTTTCAGTGTCCCCTTCAGGGAACCTGTTGTCTTACTGTTTTGACACCTGATGCTATGCACTATACAACAAAGTCAAGAACTTTGATGCCACCAACCTGGGCAAGTCCATATGTTTCTCACCTGTCCATTTCTTTCCCTCCCATCTCTCCTGTCACATCCATGTGGCATTCTACCTATCTAATGCAGTTCATTCATGGTTGGTAGAAATGTGCTCAAGGAGTCTTTCCTGAACGCATTCAGGTGCCTTATCTTTAATATTCTCAGTACATCCCAGTAGGGGATTTGCTCACAAAGATGCTGAGGCTCAGAAGGGCTAACAAACTGTGCTGTTCCCATGGCTGGGAGATCTCTATAGGGAGGGAGAAAGACTAGTGGGCATGTGTACTCCCTCCAGCCTCAGGTTCTGGGCTTGGACAGGTTCTTAGGGGTGATGGATTGCAGCGTGCCCTGAAGCCGAGCTGCTGAGAGACAGAGTTTGTGTGCTGCATTTAATGAGTAAGCACTGCTGAGCCAGCTGGAGACAAAACCTTTCAGGAGATCTGCAAGGCCCTTGAAGGAAGGTTTTATTCCCTAGGCAGCAGCTCCAGATACATTTTCACCCAGTGGGCCCCAGTGGGAAGACTGGAACAAAATCTATTTTTTTTTTTAAATCCTGACTGTTTGTGAAATAGAGAATATTTTTAGCAAATCTGAAAGCTTTGGAGAGAAGTCTCATTCGCCAGGTCCCTGCTCAAAGCAGGCACTCAGTCAACCTTTTTGGATGCTGCCGAATATTACTCAGAGCCTCCTGAGAAAGGACTCACGGAGGGAACTGGATGATGAAGATGTCAGCCAGCCTGACCGTAAACCATCATCTTTGTGACTCCATAAAGAGGACCACAGACCATTGCTAGGATGTCATCTGTGAGCATAAGGAGCATTTCCCTGAAGTCCTTGTGCCCATCAGGAAGCCACACCACACTGTACTCTCAGCTTTATGTAAAAACGTTAGCTTTCTTTTTTATCGGAGCCAATAGGGTTTGCAATGAACCAGAGGTCACAATGGTTGTGTCCTCTTTGATTGATGGCTGGGGTATTGGGTGTGAAAACAGAGAGTTAAAAGAAGGGTAGAGAGAGAACCAGGGTTTGAAGAACTATCCAGATGCAGTCAGGGTGGTTTCAGAACACTCACCACAAGTGGTATTAAAGGAAAGAGACATGTTTACAAGGTTGGGGCTTCTTCACTCTGTCATTTAGTCACAGTCTGCTTGGGCTGGGCTGGCGCTTCGGAGGCAGCATTGAGAAGACAGATGTCATAGCCCAAGGTGCTCATAGCAGACATCGGCAACAGCGTTAGGCCACTAGAGAGCTTGCAGAGGACCCAGTAAAATGCGATTTGGGTGGACAAAGAGAAGTTCAGAAAAATCGCATAGGTTCTAGAAGGATGTTGCAAAGAGCAGGATGTGCAGGTCCATGAAAAGGCATAGACACAAGGGACTGGGAACACTGGGTAGTTGCAGGAGGGGATGTGGCAGTGTCAGGAGCTGACATGGGGGAGACTCGTTGTACTTGTGGAGGAACCTGCTTGATCGCCTGACTACTGCTTAAGGTTGTTAGTCCATGTTGGTCTCTTAGGGAAGTCTGTGTGCTGAGAACACATAGAAACACTGCATTGCTGGCTAGCAGATTCATCACTTTACAGCTCAGGGACAACCCATCTGCCCCTTAGCTCCATGGCTGTGGATGATCCTACCAACTTACGGGGGAAAAAAACACACAAAGGAAAGAGTTATGCCACCCTCTCCCTGTAGCCTTTGAAACCAGGGGTCGCTTGGACTGTGTGGCCTCTGGGGAAATCCCTGCTTGGGGATGTTGAAAAGCTGATGCCCGTGGAGATGAAGCTTTGTGAGAGGCTGTGCTCACAGCCACCTGTCCCTGGACCTAGCCTTGGAAGGTGGCCAACCTTTGGCTAAGAACTGGTTGCTGATAGCTTTGGGGCTTGGCTCCAGGCTCTTGTCTCCTGAGTGCTGACAAAGAAAAGATCCCTTGGCTTCCTTGAGTAGAAGCTTGGGTACTGCCAAGGAGTCAGGATGACCTTAATCGACTCCAGAGAGCAGTATTCCCAAGACCACTGGCTTCGGACTTGTCTCTAGTGCTGGGCACACTGGCTGGCTCCACTGTGGTTCTCTGGGATAAAGTGTCTTTTAAAACCTGCATCCCACCGCCTTTACCCATCCTCTGCTGCCCCAGAACCCCAAGCTTGCCTTTTTAGGACAGTGCATCTGTGATGATCCAGGAGGCTGCTGAGATCATAAGCTTATGTGTTTGAATCAGCTCTACATGATTTATGGATGACACTAGTTATGGGCTATTGTTTCTCAACTAGATGTAGTACCGAGTAGGAAAAACCAGTGCAGTAGGCAGGGGGCCTGGAGAGGTCACTGAGACTGCTCCTCAGGAGTCAGCAACAGGCAGCAGCTGACTTTGCCTCCTTGTATAAGGGTAGGTGTGCTGTCCTCATTTGGAATAGGAATCTCTCTTTTAAATCTCCCCCAAAGCTGGAAATCAATGGCACTTGTGGCATCTGCAGGATCACACATGAAAGCTGTCTTTTCCTTCAGGCATTATTAATGTGATTTGTAGCCAACATGTTTATGGAGTTGGCAGTTGCAAAGGACACTGCTTCAGATATGCAATGATAAGTCCAAGTGTCTTTAGATGAAAAACCACAGTCTCCTCCGGTTTTTCCTTAAACGGCGAGCTTCTCCTTTCTGTAAAAGCCTGAGTAGTCAGTGTGAATCTTAACCTTTCTTGTTTATAAAAGGAATGCGTGCTCGTAGAAAATCAGGACAACAAAGAAATTAAAAGAGGACTAATACTGTCAGCCCATTGGGCACTCCTGCCAGCCATGCTGTCCCATATCTCTCCTGTCACGTGGCTGAACTTGTAAAGGCTGCCTGGTTTTGCAGGTCTCAGGAGCCTTGCAGTTAGGAAAAATCTAGCCAATTCAATGCTTCAGTTTCAAGTTCAACCAAAAGCCCACTTGCTTGTCTTCCTCTACAGAGCCTATGTTGAGTCCTCTGGCTCACAGGCATTGCTGAGCTCCCCTTTTGAGAAAGGCAGTTTTCCAGTACAGGGAGAGAGAAGGCACACATGGCATCTAAAATTTTTTTTTTTTGGTCTTGGATGGGGTTGATTGAAGGCAAGGTTTAAATGAGTCCTCAAGACCCAAGATAATTGATAAACAGGTATTTATTAGGGAAGCACCTACACAAACAATAAATAACTGTCTGGGTCTTCCTGCTC